TGAACATTTTTGTAATACAGTAGACAATACGGTGTGTGTTTTGTTTTATTTCAATTGCAATAATAAAATCAGAACCTATTGAAACCTTAAAGGTCTGCCTATACCCTTCTTTGTTTTTAAGAAAATTTATTTTTTCATTTCAGGTTAACGTGAGGGTATACATTTTTAGGTTATGTTGTTCTTACTTCCAAGGTAAAGTTCAAGTTGTAGTAGAGCCCTTCACCTGGGGGGCGTGCTGAACCACCCTGACACTGTGCACATCAGGTGAAATCCCACCAATTGCCCTCCCCTCGTCTCCTACTCCCCCTCCCACTCGCTAGATTACTTTTGTGTTTTATTGTTTGTATGGGTGAGTAATTATTTATATATTGGTTTCATATTAGTATTGAGTACCTTGGATATCTTTTTTTTTCCATGCTTGAGATAGTTTACAAAGAAGAATGTGTTTCAACTCCATCTAGGTAAAGATAAAAGCTGTAAAGTCTCCATCTTTTCTTATGGCTGAATAGTACTCCGTTTTATAGTTCTACATGTACAGTCCTTCATCTGTAGTTCTGTAGTGCACAAAGCTTTGAAAATGAAATTTGAGAAATACATTTGTACAAATTCATTTGCAACAGAATGGTGTGTGAGGCCATTTATAGTCTTCATTTATTTTAGGTTTTTTTTTTTTTTTTTTTGAGTCAAGGTCTCTGTCTATTGTCCTAGCTGGAGTGCAATGATGGGATTCATAGCTCACATCCATGCCAGCATCTGCAGCTTTGGAATTTTGTGATGTGGGCTAATCTCACTGGAGTTAGGTGATATCTCAGAGTGGCTTTGATTTGCATTTCTGGTGATTAAAGATGATGAGCATTTTTCATGTGTTTGTTGGCCATTCATCCATCATCTTCTGAGAAGTTTCTGTTCAAGTCTCTTGCCCACTTATAAGTGGGGTTGTTTGCTCTTCTCTTGTTGACTAATTTGAGTTGTCTGTAGATTCTAGTTATCAGGCCCTTGTCAGATTTGTAACATGCAAAAATCTTCTCCGATTCTGAAGGCCGTTTGTTTTGGTTGTGGTAACTTCAGCTGTGCAGAAGTTGATCAAATCCCACTTATTTATTTTTGGAGTTGCTGCAATTGCTAGGGGGTCTTCCTCATAAAATTATACCCTTCTAATATATATACATTTACAATCCTTCATCTGTAGTTTTGAAATCCACAAAGCTTTGGAAATGAAATTTGAGAAATACATTTGTACAAATTCATTTGCAACAGAAGAAGACCTGAGTGGTGGGAGGCCATTTATAGTCTTCATTTATTTTAGTTTCTTTTCTTTTCTTTTTTATTATTTTTATTTTTTGAGACAGGGTTTTTGTTTGTTGCCCTGACTATAATGCAGTGATGTGATTCATAGCTCACTGCAACCTCAGACTCCTGGGCTTAAGCCATCCTCCTGCCTCAGCCTCCTGAGTAGCTGGGACTACAGGTGCCTGCCACTTCACCTGGCTAATATATACATATATATATATATTTTACATATGTATGTACATATATACATATAAAAATATATATATATATATTTTTGCAAAGACAGAGTCTTGCTCATGCTTAAGCTAGTCTTAAACTCTTGGCTTCAAGTGATCCTTCTGCCTCAGCCTCCCAAAGCTGGGATTACAGGTATGAATCACCACACTCAGCCTACTTAGTTTACCTTTCACACATTTTTCTGCAGGTCCATTAAGATGCTGCTTGTAGGGTATTATATAACATGTTATACACACCATATTCCTTTTCTAAAATATGAAACATTCTGGATTCCAGAATACATCTGGCCTAAGAGTTTCACATAAGGGTTCAAAGGCCTTTACTAGATCATTTATGTCAGTACCACTCCTCTCTGATTGCTTAATAAATATCATAATTCCTTCCTACTCAGCCAGATATTGGCCTCTGCAAATGGCAGGACTCAAAGTGGAAAATAACATTTTTAAGAATGCTGCCCATAGGACTATTTGCCAATTTACTTTCTGTAAAAGTACCTGATTTTTAACCTAGAGTCTGTCACTTGTTTTTTGTTCTTTTTTTTTGAGACAAAGTCTCACTTTATTATCACTCTAGGTAGAGGGCTGTGGCATCATAGCTCACAGCAACCTCAACCTGGCTCAAGTGATTCTCTTGCCTCAGCCTCCTGAGCAGCTGGGACTACAGGCATCCACCACAACACCCAGATATTTTTTCTAGAGGCAGTGTCACACTCTGGCTCAGGCTAGTCTGGAACTCCTGAGCTCAAGCAATCCTCCTGCCTTGGCCTCCCAGAGTGCTAAGATTACAGCCGTGAGCCATAGCACCTGGCCTCTTGTTTTTTTAAATAATAACCTTCTGAGCAAGCACACAATCTCATGACTGTAAAGCACACTTTGGGAAGCCAAGGTGGGAGGATCACCTGCGGTCAGGAGTTCAAGACCAGCCAGTGCAATATAGCAAGACCCTGTCTCTACAAAAACAAACAAAAAATTTAACTGACTGTGCTGGCACACACCTATACTCCTAGCTACTCCGGAGGCTGAGGTGGGAGGATTTCTTGAGCCCAAGAGTTCCAGGTTACAATAAGCTCATTGAGTCATAATGAAAATTCAATTGCAGTTACTATACACATAAGATTGGTATGGTTTTATGCATTATTTTAAATTGTAGCTAGTCATGCACTTGCAAACTCTACAGCTACATGACAACTAAATGTAATATTGATCTTAGACTGGATTCTGTATTGGAGGGAGAAAATGCTAAAAGGGCATGATTAAGTCAGCTGACAAAATCTGAATGATTCTGTAAAGTATTATATTCTTCTTCAGTAGGGGTAAATGGTTTTAATATGTAAGTTAACCTTAAATGGTTTGTAAAAAAATCATGTGTGTGCCTGTTGTGTGTGTATAGAGAGAGTTCTTAAATGATGGGGGGAAATGGGGTAGGCTGGGTGCAGTGACTCATACCTGTAACCCTAGCATTTTTTTTTTTTTTTTTGAGACAGAGTCTTATTCTGTTGCCCCTTGGTGGAGTGCTACGATGTCATAGCTCACAGCAACCTCAAACTCTTAGGCTCAAGAGATCCTCTTGCCTCAGGCTCCCGAGTAGTTGTGACTACAGGCATCTACCACAACACCTGGCTAGCTCTTCTATTTTGGGTTGAGATGGAGTCTCACTCTTCCTCATGCTGGTCTTGAGCTCCTGAGCTCTGGGATCCACCCCTTCCAGAGTGCTAAGATTACAGCCACCTTTTCTTTCTTTCTTTTTTTTTTTTTTGTTAGGCAGAGGTGAGGTTCAAACCCACTGTTGTGTGGGGCCAGTGCACTAACCACTGAGCTATGGCGCCCAGCTATTCCCAGCACTTCTAAGGTGGAGTTGGGAGGATCGCTTGAGGCCAAGAGTTTGAGATCATTTGCAGCACTATAGCAAAGCCCAGTTGCTACAAAAAAAAAAAAAAAGGGAGGAGGGTAAAATATTAACAATAGATAAATCCACATTCTTTGGATTTCCTGTGTTGTACTATTATCTTTTTTTCATTAAGCTTGAAATTATTTCTAAATAAAAGACTTAAAAGATGAAATTAAAAGTTATAAGTTGTATCTCTTGAACTCCATCAAGTAATCACATAGATTCCCAATTAAGCAGATCCATGTGAACATAGTTATGCATCTTTTATTTCTTTGTATGAATTTCCATCTGTTGCCCTCCCTAGAGTGCTATGGCCTCATAGCTCACAGCAACCTTGAACTCTTGGGCTCAAGTGATCCTCTTTTTTTTTTTTTTGGAGACAGAGCCTCAAGCTGTTACCCTGGGTAAAGTACTGTGGTGTCACAACTCACAGCAACCTCCAACTCCTGAGCTTGAGCGATTCTCTTGCCTCAGCCACCCAAGTAGCTGGGACTACAGGTGCCTGCCACAATGAACACCCGGCTATTTTTTGTTGTTATAGTTATCATTGTTGTTTAGCAGGCCTGGGCTGGATTTGAACCGGCTCTGGTGTATATGGCTGGTGTCTTAGCTGGTTGAGCTACAAGTGCCGAGCCACAAGCCGTCCTCTTCCTTCTTGCCTCAGCCTCCCAAGTAGCTGGTACTACAGGTGCCTGCCATAATGCACGGCTATTTTTTTGTTTTTTTTTAAAGACACAGGGTCTCATTCTAGCTCAGGCTGGTCTGGAACTCCTGAGCTCAGGCAATCCACCCACCTCAGCCTCCCAGAGTGCTAGGATTACAGACACAAGCCACCGTGCCTGGCCAAGTAGCATATTATTTAAATAGAATATGAAATTATTTTTACAATAATATTTCCTTCACATAAAATGAAAGTTGGCTCTATATGTACCTTACCCAATTGGTACTTGTATTCTATAAGTATTTACAAATAGTACAGTTTTAAATTTAACATGCTAGATTAAATATGCTACAAAATTGATTTGAAGAACACATATAGCATAGATGTCTATTTTCTAAGTTTTATTTTGGAAAATATAGATTATATTCAATAAAAAGGACTCATACAAGTTATTAAGTTGACTTCATTGAGCATTCCTAGAATAATTAGCAGAGTACCGCGTCTGTGATGCCTTTATCAGATGAGTATTGTCAACCTATTGTACGTGAACTTCATTCCTCAAAGCACAAATGATTTACTGACAAATATTTAACCCAGTAGTATTTATATTATAATTGTCCCATGGTCTTGGCTGCTAGTAAAAGTTTTGAAGAGACCCTTTGATGAAATTCACTGGATTCCTGTTCTCTTTTTTGTAGGGTGTTCATAAGAATGGAAGCAGTGTTTCCTTGCCAGGTTCCTTATCGCTGTATCTCATGAACTGACATAATCTTGGGGAAAAGCCTGTATTTAATGATGAGAAACCTGTCATCAGTATAGCAACAACAGTGTGAGGACAAAAATAAAAATAAAAAAGAAGGATTCCAAGTTAGACTCAACGAGGAAGTCATTTTAATCAACAGTTTCTGCCGCATTATTTTCCAAGATGAACCGCTACACGACCATGAGGCAACTTGGGGACGGCACTTATGGGAGTGTGCTTATGGGCAAGAACAACGAATCCGGGGAGCTGGTAGCCATCAAGAGGTACTGTGTTCAGCACTGCAACGTTTACCGCTGAAAACTCGGTTCTCCTTATTCGCTTAGGAGTATATGCAAGCACAGAGAGGGCTAGTTAGACTCCATGATGCTTTGGCTAAGATAGAATGTCACTCTAGAAACAAAACATTGCCAGAAGGGAATTCTGCTGATTCCCATTATGTTACTTTAATTTTCTGACTTGTCTAGCTACATTGATAAACAAACAAATAAAAAAACCCTAAGCTTTTTATGCATAATACATTTGGACTGAAACTAAAGGTAATCTTTGCAATGTTTTTCAAATTTAAAGTAGAGTTTATTATGTCTTTAATTAATAGGCTTTAAAATCATGTGGTATTCATAATGTCAAATTGAATTCTGAAGGGCACAGAGTCTGAGCTTACCTGTTGACTTATTATTAATTTAATTATTTCCTTTTAACCCACTGTCTTTATCTTTTGCTACATAACAAAAATACCCCAAAGCCTAGTGATTTAAAGTAAGAGTAAACATTTATTAATTTACATGGTTTCTGTGGATCAGGAGTTCAGGAGTGGTTAGCTGGATGGTTCTGGTTGGGGCCTTCTCAAGAGGTGGCTGTCATGTGAAGACGGGACTGGAGCTGGGGGGTCCACTTCAAGGTGGCTCAGTCTTGCTAGGGCTGCTATAATGAAGTACTGCGGATAGTGGCTTAAAAACAGAGGTTTATGTCCTCACCATTCTGGAGGCAAGAAGTCTGAGGTCAAAGTGTTGACAGGGTTGTTTTCCTTCACATGATCTTCCCTCTATGCATTTCTGTATCTAAATTTCCTTTTCTTATACGAATACCAGTTGTATCATATAAGGACCCACCCCAAAAACCTCACTTAACATTAATGACTTTTTAAAGTATCCTATCATAAATACAGTCACACTCTCATGGACTCGGGGTTGGGACTTCAACTTAAGAATTTTGAGATGACTCAATCAGCCCATAGTAGGCTGCTGTAACAAAATACTGCAGACCTGGTGTTTTAACATACAAATAAATTTTCTCACCATTCTGGAGTCTAGAAGTATAAAATCCAGGTGGTCGGAGGGGAGGTCTCTCCTGAATGCCGTGAGGGAGGGATTTATTCCAGGCCTCTCCCTGACAGATAGATGGCCATTGTCCCCCTGGGTTTCTTCATATCATCTTCTCTGTGCCTCTCTCTGTGTCCAAATTTCCCCATTTTATAAGGACACCAGTCATAATGACCTCACTTTAACTTGATCACCTCGGTAAAGACCTGTCTCCAAATACAGTCCCACAGTGAGGTACTGGGGGTTAGGACTTCAACGTGTATATTTTTGAGGGACACAGTTCAACACATAACACTCACATGGTTGGCAAGTTTGTATTTCCTACTGGCAGGAGGCCTCAGTTCCTCTTCACATGGGCCTCTCCAGAGGGTTGCTTGAGTATCCTCATGACATGGTAGTTAGTTTCCATTGGCCTGAGTGAGTACCACTTCAACCAAAGTATGACAATTTAAAATTTAAATACTTCGACAAATATTTTGAAACATCATGATCTCCTAAAACATTACATGTATAAGGAAATAATTTTATAAAATGTCTTCAGATAGCAATTATTATCAAATAAAAATAATTGTTACTTGAAAATATTGAATTATATGTGGTCTTGGTTATTTTCAAATATATATAATTACTAAGAATGAGAATTTTATTAAATGAAATCACTAAAATGCAATACCCCTTCATGATTTAATTAATTTTAAAAAGTTCTCAGTTTTGGTGGCACCTATGGCTCAAAGGAGTAGGGTACTAGCCCCCTGTGCTGGAGGTGGCGGGTTCAAACCCACCCCTGGCCAAAAAAAAAAAAAAAGAAAGAAAGAAAAAGTTCTCAGTTTTTTTTTTTTTTAAAGCGCACAATCAAGGGAGGAAAAATAACTTTTAGCAAATAGAAATAAAAAGAAACTTCCCTAACCTAGGAAAACCTGTATAATTCCTCATTTGAATGTGAAGTATCAGAAGTATTGCTAGTAAAGTTGGTTCTAAGAGCAGAATGCCTGTTGTCAACCTGCTGATCAGGATTACCCTGGAGGTCCTAACTGATGCAGTCAGACAAAAGCCGAGGAAATGAGGTATAAGTATTAGACAAAAGGAGATGAAATTATCCTTACTTGTAGATTAAATGATTGTGTAAATTCACATGAAGGAATTCCTTTATTATATGTAAATACATTCATATATAATATTTGTAAAGACTTTGGAAGATAATATGTAAAATTTATGGTACTGGTGGTTTCTAGGGAGGTGGGTAGGAGAATAAGAAGGGAGTTGAGTCTTGTGGCATCTGGAAGGTTGTTACTGTTTGATTTTATATGAAAAAAATGTACGTTTTTCCTCTGGTTGGCAAAAACATGGTGTTTGTTTTATCTTTCAGTTTCATAAAGTAGGGCATGGGGCCTCATTTGCATAGACCCACGTAAACCTTGGGAGCAATGAGAAGTCAAAGACACTGAGGGTTGAGAAGAGACCAGAAGGATATAATTTAGAAATGCTTTTAGTGAATATTTATGAATGAATTACTTAAATCTATCCAAAAGTGACTTAAATGGACATTTATTTTTCTCACATAGTAAAAACTCTTGGCACAACTGTACTATTGAATTATACACTACCTTTAAAAAAATTTTTTTGAGATATTCTTGCTATTTTCCCTGGACTAAGGTGCAGTAGTGTCATCATTGCTCACAGCAACCTTGAACTCCTGGGTTAGAGCGCAGTGCTATCATCATAGCTCACTGCAACCTTAAGTTCCTATGCTCAAGCAATCCTCCTGCCTCAGCCTCCTGAGTAGCTGGGACTACAGTCATGAGGCACCATGCTTGGCTCAATTTTCCTACTTTTGGTAGAGATGTGGTCTCAAGCATGCTCAGGCTGGTCTTGAACTCCTAAGCTCAAGTGATCCTCCCACCTTGGCCTCCCAGAGTATTAGGATTACAGGTGTGAGCCACTGTATCTAGCTAAATTATACATTTGAAATGAGTGAATGGTATAATAAGTAAATTATAACTCAATACAATCATTATTAATACTTTTTAAAGTTTTGAGATATGCTTAGGGCTAGTACTTTGTATCATCTTCTGGCCAATGAGAAGTATCAGAAGTCTTTTACACAAAAATATATTCAATATGAGATTTAATTTTAATTTTGGGGGAAAGGTATGGGTGGATTTAAAGTGTTATCCAAAGTACTGTGCTCAGAATATTTATGGCCTAAATTGAAAGTGCCTAAAATTTTATACCACCAAACACAAAATGATTGGACATTATAGGATATGAGTTTTTTAGTAACAAGTAGAAATAAGAATGGAGAATAAGGGGTATAATACTATGTATGTTTAATTGTCTGGTAAAGTTTATTCCTTTGCACCAGGCTTAAGAGAAATGGCAGAGCCTTCCTGTGTGACTCTTGCAGGCAAGATCAAAAACTATCCTAATTGTATGTTGTCCAGAAAGAATCCTGAGGAGTTACAGGTGTAGTGATTGTTCATGTTGATAATCCTGCCAGTAGCCAGGCTTCACAGTTCCTGCACTCCTAAGAGATGGTCACCTCTGTCCTACCAGTCACTCACAAATACCTTGTTATCTTGAGGGATGGTTCTGCTGTCCTTTTTTTTAGACAGTCTCACTTGGTTGCCCTTGGTAGAGTGCCATGGCGTCATAGCTCACAGCAACCTCAAATTCTTGGGCTTAAGCGATTCTCTTGCTTCAGCCTCCTGAGTAGTTGGGACTATAGGCACCCACCACAACACCCGGCTATTTTTATTTTTTTATTTATTTTATTTTTTTTCCTTTTACTAAGTCATATACACATAGATCATGAATACATTTATGCATTTGTGGGGTACAATGTGCTTTTTTTTATGCGATTTGGAGTGTTTACAGCAAACTAATTAATATAGCTTTCACCTCATGTATTTAATTATTGTGTGAAGACATTTATGTTCTATACTTGATAGATTTGACTTGTACCCTTATAATATGCCGGCTATTTTTAGAGATGAGTTCTCGCACTGGCTTAGGCAGGTCTCAAACCTGTAAGCTTAGGAAATCCACCTGCCTCGGCCTCCAAAGTGCTGGGATTACAGGCATGAGCCACTGCGTCCAGCTGGTTCTGCTTTCTAAGACTTCCACCATTACAACTTCAGACTCTTGACCATGATCTCCTATTGTTTCTCCATCATCAACCTCGAGACTGCTTTATACCCCCGCTCATTCAACTCTTGGCTATTCCCACTACTGCCCACTTGGCTTGGCTCACCTGCTCATCCAGCATGAGCCCCACAGTCAGCCCTTCACACCATCCTCTCACGATCAGACACATATTCTGAATCCTCCCCTGTCTCAATGTCCCACCCTCTCAAGATCAGACACATGTACTGAATCTTCCCCTCTCCCAATGTCCCACCCTCTCAAGATCACACACGTATTCTGAATGTCCCCCTCTCCCAGGTCCCATTACTCCTGCCTTGATATCCTTCAGTCTGCTCTCCATATGATTGGTAAAGACTGGAAGATAAATCGTGTACATATAAATGTTTCCAGTAGTTCCACTTTCATAGTCATCCCATGTAATCAAAGGTGGACTCTTAGTAATACTTGACAATCCTTTTGTGACTTTCTTAGTAACTTAATAACAAGAATTCTTCACAACTCCTCAAAGCTTGCGCTCAATGCTTCCACCAATTGTACTTCTTCCTGTTGCTCCCCCCTACCACAATCTGCAACAACACTCATCACTCCCGCTAGTTATGTCAGATCCCCCAGATCCATGGCAGATGAGATGGTCTGCATGCCAGACAGCCATTTCCAGCCCCTTTCCTTTTGCCTCCTGGTACAGAGGCTGAAAGAGTGAATATTCACTTCCTTAGCCCCCTTTGGAAGTAATGAAGACCTTAGGTCCAGGACACGTGCCAGCCGATAAGATGGAGGGGAAGCCCTGAGGAGAGTGTGGGAAAGAAATATACCTGATGAAAGATGGGAGAAGAGTTTTTTGGTACTATTCTCCCTTCCTTCCACCTTGAGCACGGATATAATGCCTAAAGGTGAAGTAGCCATAATGTAGTCATTAGGTGACACATTGGAGGACAAAAAAAGTTCTAAGCATTCCATATAAAAATGACAAGAAAGCTCTGGGTGGCTTAGGTGCACTGTTGAGCCACTGAGAGAGCTCTGGAATCACCAAATTCCAGATTTCCTTAAAAATAAACTCCTCTTTCCTTAAGCCTTCAGGTCTGTTACCTGCTGTTAATTTGTATGTTACTAGCAGCAAGATGCATTCCTAACTAATTCATGAGATGCCTTTCAGTCATTAAATTCTGATTCACTAGGGATATTTTAGAAATAAAAGCAATGATGGCCTTTATGTCTTCTTATAGTCAGTCACAGATACTGGTAAAAACGATACCATCCAGTAGATGCTGAGTGCTGAACTAAGCCGTTTGCAATGTTTTTCTCATGTAGTAATTTCTACCCTACAGCTAGCTAAGGAATGTGAGACACAGAGAGGTCACTAGGTAAATTGTCCTAGGTCATACAATCAGAGAGCTGCTGAGCAAGGATTTGAATCCAGGCGGCTCACCTTTACAGCCTATGTTCTTGACCATGATGTTGCGCTGTCAGATCTTTACTCATTTCTTACCTGTGTGTTATGTCCTCACATCCTCAGAGAGGGTATAATCGTAATTTCTGCATCATAAGAATTATTCTAACTAATAAAGGCAATTCTGAACTTCCTAAGTGGCTTCTAGGAGTGATTTTCAACCGGTGTGCCGTGAAAAGTTTTAAAGTTTTAGTTATTTTCCTAAGAACTTCAAAGCACAGTAAGTGTGTTCTTTTTTTTTTTTTTTTTTGGATCATAATTTAAGTGTGCTGTGGAAGTTTAACTATTGGTTCAAGTGCTCTGTGAGGTAAAAAGGTTGAGAAACCCTGTTCTAGGACATCTCAGTAGCAGATCATAATACTAAATGAAAGCAGTAGAACATACTTAGTTTTTATCTTTGATAACCCAGCCTCATAATCCCCATATTTGGATACGCAAAATGTTTTTTAGACTATGAATCTCATTTTTTCTTCTATTTTGTATGGTGACTAAAAATCCATTCATAGAAAACACAGCCATGGCTGGGTGTGATGTCTCACGCCTATAATCCTAGCACTTGGGAGGCTGAGGCAGGTGGATTGCCTGAGCTCACAGGTTCGAGACCAGCCTGAGTGAGAGTGAGACCTCGTCTCTAAAAATAGCTGGGCATTGTGGTGGGTGACTGTAGTACCAGCTACTCGGGAGGGTGTGGCAAGAGAATCGCTTGAGCCCAAGAGTTTGAGGTTGCTCTGAGCTAAGATGGCACAGCACTCTACTGAGGGCAACAAAGTGAGACTCTGTCTCAAAAAAAATTAAAAAAAAAAGAACGATAAAAGACAGCCACTGTTTATGGTGTCTACAGGGAAAATGCTTCATTATCGTAAATACTCTTTTGGTATACTTATAAGTAATGGTAACCAACATTGGGATGGAAGAGGAGAAATTACAATTCAAGAAATTGTAATTCATTTTCATTCATTCATTTCATTCAATTCGATTCATTTTCTAAAGTTTGTCTACTTTGGAATTTTTACTGACATTAAATCACTTAACTTTATGGGCCTCTTGTCTAAAAGTGAGGTAATGATATAAAAGTTGTCAGATCAAATCACTGACTAAATTTGCTATCAAGATTTGTAATTTTTCTTCCTACTCACCTCTGAATTATAGTATTTCGTATTTATCTCTTAAGTTCCAGAAAGAGAGGAGATTTTAAAGAGGGTGTTTTAGAAAAGCACAATTAAACTGAGTAGTGAAATGTTCAGAACTCACCCAAGAAAGGAAGATTAATGGTAAATTTCCCACCTTTTTATTAAGGCAGGATTTCAGATGTGAGACACATGCACACACACACACAGATGAGCCTGTACCTAGTAGCCTTGAGATAGAGAGAAGGAAGGGGATTTCCTTATGAGAACGAGGAAAGTGACCCTGTGATAGAGTAAGAAAGCCAATGGAACAGTTTATGTCTTTGAATCCTCAGTCCCTGTGCACTAAACTTTTTAAATTTATTTTAGGATGAAGAGAAAGTTCTATTCTTGGGATGAATGTATGAACTTGAGAGAAGTTAAGGTAAAATCCTAAAGATGCAAAGAACCCAAGAAGGCCTTAACTCTGTCTGAGGACAGTAGCTGAGATTCTTCTGTTCTCTGTGGGAAGCATTCCGAAGTTAATTGTGTTTATGTTTTTCCTTTTATCTTCCAAAAGCAAAGTAATTTCTCATCTTTTTCTTGTTCTGATGTCAGTGGAAAACAGGATACAGTTATACGTTCATATTTGAAAGTTCTTTACTTTTAAAGCATCTCTTTAGTGATCTTGAGATTAAAAAAGTAAAGAGCATTTTAATTACCATTCTCAAAGGAAAGATAACTTTTTAAATTACTGTATACCATTTCCATATATTTTGTGCTTAAAGACTTGGATAAATTTTTGGAGACTTTTGCATTATTATGTCAGACAAAATCTAGACATGTTCAACAGACTGAAGTGCTGGGCAGCCATTGCTGACTTGGCTTATTGTTGCACTTGGCATTCATTTTACAAAGCTGTTATTGCTCGATTCAAGTTGATGTCCTAAGAGGTTTTTAAATTATGTAGACATTAAAATGTAATTCATTAATGAACCCAGAAGAAATGAAAAGTTACTTAAAGGAATGATCATATTTACCATTGATAAGATTTTGAAGATTTTGCCAACTTCTATAGCTTTTGTTTAAGAAAGTTTAACAATTATGTGTTGTTTTGCAGTCTCTGAAAAAACTTAATCATGCCAATGTGATTAAACTGAAAGAAGTTATCAGAGAAAATGACCATCTTTATTTTATATTTGAATATATGAAAGAAAACCTCTATCAATTAATGAAAGATAGGTATGTCTTTATTCTGTGGAAATTATAATATTTTTCCCTGTTGTTAACTCCGTGAGTTTTCTGGATCCTCTCAATACATCTTACTTTGCAACATCTAGTTTTAAATTAATAGTTCTGTCATCTCTATCAAAGAGTAGCACTTAACATTGGAGAAGAGCCGTCTGTGACAGAACCATCATTTTTCTGTTGTAAATCCTTAAAAGTCAAGGTCATATGTCATATAAATACACAAATCTATCTGTAGTTAGTATGTAGTAATAAAGATGGCCTTGGGCACTAGAGAAAATTATCTTTGTTGCTTCCCCAAGTGTCTTGTGAAAGGCTAATGAAAGAATGACAGGAGAAAAGAATAAAGTAGCTTTTAAGAAAGGATCTAAGAAACTTATTCATTAGGATGTATAAGTGAAAATTTGATGGGTTACTCATTCCAGGGAAATTCTCATTTTAATTTTTAAACATGTGGGTAGCATCTCTAAAGACTGAAAGTTTCAGTCTTCTGCTCTGGGCTTGGGGAGACAATGTTCTGGTGGTCATGGTTCTGGTCACATATAGGAAATTAAAGTTCATTTTGCCTGCTTTTACAGTGAAAGTTATTCAACAAAAGACCCTAAAATACTTAGAAATAAAGTAATTTTCCAATGTAATGGTATGGATTTCTATTTCATATATACCACACACAAAGCCTAAGGATGGTAAATGAGTTTTTTCTTCAATCATTTCCTTTCTTCTTTCAAAAACATATTTATTGAATGCCTGTTGTATTTCAGGCTGACATCATTATTATGTTAATAGTATCAGTTAAAAATAAAAGTAAATTACTACCCCCCAAATCAGCGTTCATTTTTCTCAAGTCCTTTCCAGCCCTTGTACGTACTTGTACCTTTTACTTAATTGTAATTTTAATGGTAATACAATTTTTTATTTGATGCATTCACTTATAAGTACCTTTTTATGCTGATAAATAGTCTTTATAGTTACCATAAACATTATACGTGTTCTGTTAAATTGCTATACTAAGCTTCACTTTTCTCCTTGAACTATTTAAAAAAATGACTATCAATGGGAGACTCGGTAATTATAGGATATGATATTGATGGAATCATTATGCAGCCCTTAAAGGTCATAATTATAAAGATTATGAGAATACTTATAAGTGGAGAAACAAATCAAAATTGTATTTATGTAACATTGATACACAATATAAAAGTTATGCACGCAAATGGGTTAGAACTGGATTAGAATAGTGAAAAATCAGAAGTTCCTTAATCAGGTGGTGGGATTATGGGTGATCTTACTTTTCAGCTTCTAATACATTTTTTAAAAATACATGAAATGAAAACTATATACATAAATATATGGATACACATGGATTAAAAAAATTAAATATAAATACAGGAGTTATTATATTTTATCTGATTTTTAAAATATGTGTGAATCTGACAATTGAAGTAGTTAAAGGAATAACAAATAAATACTACAAAGTTTTGAATTATATGATTTAATTCTAGGCTTCTGAATCAAATAGGAATAAAAATTGTATTAGAATTTTATTTTATTTCTAAGAATAAATTTGACTAGCAACAATTGTGCAGATGAAGGCTATTTAAGGATAAGGTGTATTTATACCTTGTTTGAGTATTTTCACTCCCTGAAACATTATTTTGAAGGTGTAAATTAATCCACATGCCCTTTTTGAATTTTATTGTAGTAAGCTGCTTTCCCATTTCAGCTGAAGACTAATACCCATGAGCCTTTGCCCTGATGCCTTGACTGCACCTTCAGTGGATAGCGTTCTTTTTATCAAGTTAAATTCTTGGCAAGAATTCAAATGTTTTATTGACTTTAAAATTTGTTTTACAGCTTAGGAAAGTGAATTTAAAACTATTTTCAGTAACATGTGATCAATACTAATCTGAGATAACCCCGCGTCTGTTTTTCCCTGCCGACTGTGTTTCGCATCCATGTGGTGGCCTAACAATTTAAACGGTGGAACGCTTTGGGACATAATATAGGCATATACAATGGCTAAAAATACAATATGGAAAAATAGGCCACTTGCCATATGTCAAAAGCATTTTTAATTGATCCTCTAAATTAATCTGGTCCATCAAACTTCCTGCTGAAATAAAGAAGTTAGAAAATGTTGAAATTATGATACAGTCTAAAAACTTAAAATGATGACCTTTATTACACAGTATGGCCTTCGGATTGAAGAATTAGTTGCTGACCACCTTAGTTGGTGGCCTGGCAGAGATTAATATTTTAGCCCGAATTAGGCCGTTATTAAGATCTTACTGTAGAGTCTGTGGTTAATACAATAAAAAGCCACACTGTTGGGCGGCACCTGTAGCTCAAAGGAGTGGGGTGCCAGCCCCATATGCTGGAGGTGGCGGGTTCAAACCCAGCCCCGGCCAAAAACTGCAAAAAAAAAAAAAAAAAAAAAGCCACCCTATCCAGTACAGTAGCCAGTAGTCAGAGGTAGCTATTGAGCTCTTGCAATATCTCAGTTGAACTGTGTTATAAATGTAAAATAAATTACACACCAGATTTTGAAAACTTGCTGTAAAAATTAAATTTATTAATTTTATAGTGATTATCTGTTGATATAATATTGAGTATGTATGAGGTTAAATCAAATATGGTGTTAAAATTAATTTTACCTGTTTTATTGGTTTTGTTTTTAATTTGGCTACTAGAAAAATATTAAAGATATAAGTAGCTCTTAGATTTCCATTGTATTGTTCCAATATTGTAACAATATTGTTTCCATATTGTTCCAATATGCAGCGTACAACTGAAGCATTTATACTCCCCATACTCTTAAAGCCTACGTGATACAGCTCTGCATGACTGGTTGATCTGACAGTGATTCAGCTTTCCAACTTACTTTGGTTTTCCTGGGACAGTTTAAGATTTAACTATTGACTATTTTTGTAATATACTCTGGGATTTGAGTTTTTACCAAACGCCAAAATAAAAAAAAAAACAAAACTCTACTAATTTCCATGTTTTAAATTTATGACCTTTAACACTACAAATCTATACATTATACTTCCAGCCAGTATCATGAGGCCAGCAAGGCAAAAGGAATAGAAACCTTCCTTGGATTAGCTGGTTGGTTGCTTAACAGAATTACATGACTTTGTGTTCATTTCTTCACAGAAACAAGTTTTTCCCTGAGTCAGTCATCAGAAATATTATGTATCAAATATTGCAAGGGCTGGCTTTTATCCATAAACATGGTAGGTTTCTTTTAAGTCTCACTTTTCTGCCTCTTTAGATTACTGTCAAGAATATGCACAGAAATTGCTTATAAACTCTTATTAATAATATTCTATTGGATAATTACAAGTTTGGGGTATGTGTTTATACATATTGACTTTTCATTTGAAAGCATTTAGAATTTCTACCATTCTGTATGATATGAAATGGAATTTATATATACTATAACTCCCTTCCTATAATAATCTATATCTATTAAAAACTTGAATTTTTTTTTTTGAGACAGAGCCTCAAGCTGTTGCCCTGTGTAGAGTACTGTGGCATCATAGCTCACAGCAACCTCCAACTCCTGGGCTCAAGTGATTCTTCTGCCTCCCCTCCCAAGTAACTGGGACCACAGGTGCCCGTCACAACATCCAGCTATTTTTGGTTGCAGCCATCATTGTTGTTTGGCGGGCCTGGGCTGGATTTGAACCCACCAGCTCAGGTGTATGTGGCTGGTGCCTTAGCCGCTTGAGCCACAGGCACTGAGCCAAAAACTTGAATTTTTTAGCTGGGCATTGTGGTGGGCACCTGTAGTCCCAGCTACTTGGGAGATTGAGGCAAGAGAATTGCTTAAGTCCAAGAGTTAGAGGGTGCTGTGAGCTGTGATGTCACCGCACTCTACCCAGGGTGAGACAGTGCCCACCACAACACCTGACTATTTTGGTTGCAGTTGTTATTGTTGTTTGGCAGGCCTGGGCTGGATTCAAACCCCTCAGCTTTGGTGTATGTGGCTGGCGCCCTAGCTGCTTGAGCTACAGGTGCGGAGCCCAAACTTGAATTCTTTAACAGTTTGATCATCAGCCCTTAATCTAGTCATCATAAACCCAATCTGCAACCTCATCTCTCCTAATTTTATCATGGAAATTAAAACAAATCCTTCTTTGGAAGAGATTAGGTTGCTGCATCCATGGCGTGGGGTCTGATAGCTTTCCTTAGTATTTACATTCAGTTGTGTCTGTTCCTTGAGTGGAATTAAGCAAATACTTGTTCCATTTTGTATGAATTTCTTATTTATGTGTTTTATATAGTGTTTCTTATCTATCACACCAAAATAAATATTAGTCTTAGGAGTGAATGTGATGATTTTTAATGAAAATTTGTTTAGAATCACTAAGTCCATAGATAGGAAATTAGAGAAGTTCGTGCCATACTGTTGCTGCCTTCCATGCTGGCTCTCAAAGATCACCCCGGGTCTCCTTTCGTGTCTGATCCCATACTTTAAACTCTTTTCCTATATCTTCTAACAGAAAATAATTTTATCTTCTAGAAATTTTATGCAGCATTCCAGATAAGTATTTTAAGAACATTTCTGAATCCATAATTTTTGTTTCATATAAACTGTTGGGGACTTTAAAAGTCTACATCCCCTAACAATATACTATAATACATTGGTAAATATCAATAATTTCTTTTAATTACCCGGAAATAAGAGATTACATGTTTTTTAAATTATTCACAGTAGAGTCCTGATTCTTAATTTGCTTGAGACTCTGATCATCATGGTAAGTCTTGAGATTGCCTGGGGTGATTTATACTATCAGCAACTTCCAAAGCATTTAGGATTTAAAAATTGTGGCTGATAGTAAATAACATATGAATCGTCTAGAGTTGATTATGCAGTGACTACGTAGTGAAACCGGGCTCTATGAACAATTAGACAACATTTTTACAAAAGCCAAATCATATTCTTTTTTTTTTTTTTTTGAGACAGTCTCAAGCTTTCACCCTGGGTGGGGCGCTATGGTGTCACAGCTCACAGCAACCTCCAACTCTTGGGCTTAAGTGATTCTCTTGCCTCAGTCTCCCAAGTAGCTGGGACTACAGGCGCCCGCCACAATGCCTGGCTATTTTATTTTGGTTGTAGTTGTCACCGTTATTTGGCGGGCCGGGGCTGGATTTGAACCCACCAGCTCCCGTGTATGTGGCTGGCGCCTTAGCCACTTGAGCTACAGGCACCGAGCCCCAAATCATATTCTTTGCTGTAGTCAAACATCTCAGATGTAATACTTCAAGAAAATAGATACCTTTAAATAGTTGCTGTCAAAAATGAGACTAACATTTAGTTAAAACAGGACTAGATTACCAATACATTTATATTACAATGGGGAGAAACTTCAACTGGACAAATATGTAATTGGCTTAGTTCTGTAGGACTTCATGGATTAATGTGACTTTGCTGTTTCCATCCCTATCTCTGCATTATGAAAGAGCTATGGATTTCCCTTAGATGTTAGTGAAATGTATCTTGCCAGCTGTTTTGAGTAGGAATACCACATAAACTTGGAGTGAAAAAACTGTTACAGATGTCCTAAATGCAGACTCCATGCGGGCTGTGAAGTGATTAAAAATGTTTAGGCTTAGAAAGTCTTCCTAGCCCCAGCGCTACGTGAATGTATAGTAATACTCTTCTGATGATCCCCTGCCTCACAAGGCCATTAGAATCCCCTCTGTGTATAACCAATACACTCCTGATCTCTCCTAGAAAAAGACTTCCTTAAGAACAAATTGGATTTGCAAGGAGGGCTTTAATTTTTTTCCCCTGGGTTTTCTGTCTCATTTTCTTTGGGTTGCCCAATACCTTGGGTAACTAACCATCTATTTTGTATGTTGAATTAGTAACATAAGCATTATAATTATTGGGGTTTTCAGTGAGGAGAACTTGACATTAAGTAATTTTAAATGAAGGAATTAATTATAATGTATGGAGTTCCATTTTTGTCTAATGGACTTGTCATACAAGTGGAGTACCCTGGAGGAACCAGCTGCACTGGTACAAGCCAGATCAGGACCTGCTCTTCCTGCATCCCCCCCATCCCCGTTACACAGTAGCGATATCAATACCTCCTTAAGGTAGTTTCATGAGGAGACATCATGATGCGCTAGTACCTAACCCATTGCCTGGACCTGCTGAAGCTACAAATAAAAATACATTCAAACAGTTACTTTTAATGGTCTTACATCCTACGTGAACTTTCATGCCACATCATTTTGAAAGCAGAGTCCTACAGCCCACCATTTTTTAGGTGGTGTTTTGTTTTTTTCTTTTTTAAGAGATCATCCTTCTAATTATGATAAAGAGGCTGAGTTATATTGTTTATAAATCAAATAATGCTATGTTTAAACGTGATGATTTATTGGTGTTCTTTTTTCCTTTATATTACCAAGGCTTTTTTCATAGGGACATGAAACCAGAAAACTTGCTTTGTATGGGTCCAGAACTTGTGAAAATTGCTGATTTTGGACTTGCAAGAGAATTGAGGTCACAGCCACCGTATACTGATTATGTATCTACCAGATGGTGAGTAGTTTTATACGACTTTCCTGGGGCGTAAGTCTGTGCTGAAGTTTTCTGACAATGGATTGTTACGTTACCTTTCTAGAGGTTCCATATAGCACTGAATTTTGCATTCTTTAAAAAGAGAGGATTGGTTCATTATTATTCTGATCAATGAGAAAAGAAGAAAAAGGAATCTCACTATTCATTCAACAAGTACTTAAGAGGATTGGTTCTTTACTATTCTGATCAATGAGAAAAGAAAAAGAATTTCATTATTCGTTCTACAAGAACACCTACCATGTGCCATAGATTGTTAGGTACAGGGGACCCAGCAGTGAGCAAACATAAGAGAAAAATCTTTGCCTCCTGCTGCTTACAACACATGTAAACAAGTTAAAAGTATGGTGAGTTACCAACAGAAAAATATGCAGATGTTCACCAAAAGACATGTCATAGTCCCAACTGCAGACTACCCAAATGTCCAGGAGCAGCAGAATAGTGGGTCCCCCAGGGGAATGCTTACAGCCGTGAGAGAGAGCAGTCTGCACTGTGTACAGCAATGTGTGTGAATCTCACAGAGGTAACGTGAGAGCAAGAGGCCAGACATAAAAACAGAGCATGCTGCGCGGTTCCATTTATATAAAGTGCAAAATTAGAGAAAACTAACCTGTGCCATTAAAAGTCAGGAGAGCCAGCAGTTCCTGGGGGCTGTGTGTGTAATAACTGGATGAGTGCATGAAGGACCTTCTGGGATGCTGGGAATATGCATTTTTGATCTGGGTACCAGGTCTGCGGATGTTTTCTATTTGTGAAAACTCAGCAAGTGGTACTTTTACAATATGGGCCTTTTCACGTGTACTGAACTCCAATAAAAACAATATGGGGCGGTGCCCATAGCTCAATGGGTAGGGTGCCGGCCACGTACACTGACGCTGGTGAGTTCAGACCCAGCCCATGCCAGCTGACAATAGTGACAACTGCAACAACAAATGACCAGGTGTTGTGGCAGGTACCTGTAGTCCCAGCTACTTGGGAGGCTGACGCAAGAAAATCGCTTGAGCCCAGCAGTTTGAGGTTGCTGTGAACTGTGACATTACAGCACTCTATTCAGGGCAACAGCTTGAGACTGTCTCAAAAAAATGAAACAAAACAAACAAAAGAAAGGAATATGGCCAGGCGCGGTGGCTCACCCCTGTAATCCCAGCACTCTGGGAGGCCAAAGTAAGAGGATTGCTTGAGCTCAGGACTTCCAGGCCAGCCTGAGCTAGAGCAAGACCCCGTCTCTAAAACTAGCTGGGCATTGTGGTGAGTGCCTGTAATCTCAGCTACTTGGGAGGCTGAGGCAAGAAGACCGCTTGAGCCCAAGAGTTCGAGGTTACTGTGAGGTATGATGATGCCACGGCACTCTTCTGAGGGCGACAAAGTAAGACTGTCTCAGAAGAAAAAAAAGAATGTGGAGGAATGAGCCATCTTATGCACTGCTGGCTTATAAAGTGGTGCAGTCTGGCAGTTTCTCAATGGTTAAACATGATCTAGCAAATCCACACAGCCGAGAGAAGTGAAGACCCATGTCCACACGAAAACTTGTATATGAATGTTCACAGCAGCGTTACACTTCTAATAGTAAACATTGAAATAAATGTGAGCTATATATAAATTTTAAAAATATTTTAAAAAATCAAGGAAAATAATTACTCCTACTTACTCCAGCTCAGGGTTGTGAGTGGCCAAGCCTGTCCCAGCAACTCAGGGTCAAGGCGAGACCCAGTCCTGGCCAGATGCTGTCCCATCACAAGGTGCAAACACACATCCGCACACACTATCATACAGGGACCACATAGACACACCCGACATCTTTGGGGTGTCAGTTGAAACTGGAGGCCTTAGAAAAAACCCACGCAGATGTGGGAGGGAATGTGCAAACTCCACCCAGACAAAAACCCCAGCTGAGACTCAATTTTGTTTTTCCTCATTGATGTTATAACAAAACAACATTGAACAAAATGATAATATTCAGGGCCCTGCTGTACCCTGAATGAAAGCAAAAAGACAGGATTACAAAACATTCGGACTAAAATATCTGTACATTTTAATGTGAAGGAAGGAGTTGGGGTTGAGAATATCTTCTGTTTGGCAGACTTTGTGTGGAACTTAGCAGATACCTTTGCTCTTGTAAATATTTTTCCCAATCAAAAATATTATGTACAGAGAGGGGTCAACTGAGGGTATCAGTACTTTCAATCTAATAAAAAAGGAAAAAGCCCACTACTCAGGGGTTGTCTTTGCTCATCTTTTTTTGTATCCTTCATGTGAACGTGTGATGGCTCTAACAGTGTTTTGTAATATGGCATTTCTCCCTTTTCTCTTAATACACAGAATAGCAATTGTTTCCATATTTGGTCAGTTGGGTTTCTGTCTTAAGTTATGTGTGGATATTTCTCTTTTTTTCCTTTTCTTTTCTTTCTTTTTTTTTTTTTTTTTGAGACAGAGTCTTACTCTGTTGCCCTGGGTAGAGTGCTGTGGCATCATAGCTCACAGCAACCTCAAGCTCCTAGGGTTTAGAGCAATCCTCTGGCCTCAGCCTTCCAAATAGCTAGGACTACAAGTGGCCACCACAGCACCTGTTTTTCTATTTTTACTTATTATTATTACTTTTTAAGGTAAAGTCCCTCTTATAATTGTGTCCTGCCCCTAAGAGGTGTGTCACTCATTGTGATCCCCCACCCCCTCCCTTCTTCCTTCTCTCTGCTCTCCCATTTCCCCAACCCCGACATTAATTGTCCTCATATCAGACTTGAGTACACTGGACTCTTGCTTCTCCATTCTTGTGATGCTTTACTAAGAAGAATGTGTTTTAACACCATCCAGGTTAATACATAAGATGTAAAGTCTCCATCCTTTTTAGTGGCTGCATAGTATTCCACAGTATACATATACCACAGCTTGTTAATTCATTTCTGGATAGTTTTTCTATTTTGAGTAGAGTTAGAGTCTCACACTTGCTCAGCCTGGCCTTGAACTTCTGAGCTCAATCAATCTACCCATCTCGGCCTCAGGATTATAGGTGTAGCTACTGCACCTGGCATTTCATTGGACATTTCCTTTACATTTATCTCCAGCCCCACTCATTGTAGTCAAGAAACATGTTATGTCCCATTGTCCCCCGTATGTGGTATGAACACCTGAAACACAGAATCTGCTTAATACCCATTCCTTGATTGAAATGCATGACCAGACAGGGCAGAATGTTACTGACCATCCATGTTTCAAATTACAATCAAAATAGCCTTTATTGTTTTTTGTTTTCTATTTTCATAGGTATCGGGCTCCTGAAGTTTTATTAAGATCTTCAGTTTATAGCTCTCCCATTGATGTGTGGGCTGTGGGGAGTATAATGGCTGAACTATATACCTTAAGGCCACTTTTCCCAGGGACAAGTGAGGTGGATGAAATCTTTAAGATTTGCCAAGTTTTAGGGACTCCCAAAAAAGTAAGTACTCTTGTCCCTCAGTTGTTATAACTTAAACTTGCTACTCTGCTTTTAACTTTATAACTTTTAATTATAATTTTTTCCTAGATAGCAGATATTTTTATTTTTAAATAGGCTCAAACTTTAAAGCTTAGTTTTTCTTATAATGTTTTTTCTTTTTTTATTGGGGTGGGATAAGGATTGCAAGAAGCCACCAGACTGAAGAAAAAAGGTGCTTTTTTAAAAACCTTAAGAAAATTCTGTATATGTAGAGGGTAACTTTGGGTTGATGACTAGCTGGCCACTATGCAAGACCACCTTGGTTAGGCTCCTTCCTACTTGCTCTGTGACTGTCCAGTGGTATCAGCTCATTAAGCTCTGGGGCCTTGGACATGAACCCTTTCTTGTTTCCTTTTATCCATCTCTGCCGTGGGTAGGTATTTGCCTTCATGAACTGAGTATTTTTTGATTAACTGTTGTGTTTTAGCTAGTCCTTACTTTCTGAGATGTGCTTAATAAATGCAAGTGTGTATAATTACATCCTAATTAAGTTGATGTGTGCCTTGTTGACATTAGAAAAGTAAATGTAGCTATTAAAGCTTTGACATGATTTGTCATTTCCCAGCTATGTGACACTTTTAACACTGGATGTAAGTCAACCAGCCAAAGGACCATAGCAAACTGGTCAACACATGGAGGTGGTCAGCATAAGGAACGAGGCCTCCTGTACTGAGACATGCACGTGGTACTTGTCTGGTCTCTGAAAGTTAGGTCAACTTAAGGAGGTGGTCAATGTAGGGAGCGGGTCAACTATGGGGGTTCTGTTGTATATAGTGAGGATCTTTGTCAGCCTTGGGGCAGCACCTGTGGCTCAGTGAGTAGGGCACTGACCCCATATACCAAGGGTGGTGAGTTAGAACCCGGCCCCTGCCAAACTGCAACCAAAAAATAGCCAGGCGTTCTGGCAGGCACCTGTGGTCCCAGCTACTCAGGAGGCTGAGGCAAGAGAATCGCCTAAGCCCAAGAGCTGGAGGTTGCTGTGAGCTGTGATGCCACAGCACTCTACTGAGGGTGACAAAGTAAGACTCTGTCTCTAAAACAAACAAACAAAAGCCTTTTTGTAAAGCACGTGCCCTTATTTGTTCAAAGTCACCGAAGTATCATAATCACCAAGATCCAGAACCAGACAAGAGTTTAACATTTTGAAATTTGTGAAAGCGCTTTCTCATTTCCTCCTAACCCGCGTTCAGTGCTCTTTCTACACTGTTTGTAGCTGCGAATGAATTGTATATGTGGTCTGGTATTCCATGCTTACGTTTGTTTAATCAACACTACAGTGTTCACACATGAATGATTTTTATATTACTACTCTGGTTTTAAATGGCTTACTAAAAATAATTTTTCTTTCTGCACCCTCCCACCCGCACTTTTATATTCCTTACGCAGAGCGACTGGCCAGAAGGATACCAGCTTGCATCCTCTATGAATTTCCGCTTCCCCCAGTGTGTTCCTATAAACTTAAAAACTCTTATTCCCAATGCCAGTAATGAAGCCATTCAGCTTATGAATGAAATGTTGAATTGGGATCCAAAGAAACGACCAACAGCAAGCCAGGTAAGGCTTTTTCAAATGTTGAGGTTTTACAGTATTAGGGATGTGTTCGTTTACAAAGACAAGTCCATTCTCAACCAGAGTTTTACCAAGAAAATGAATCTTTAAGGCATCCGGTGTATGTAGTTAAAATCTCTGGGCATATAAGATCCATGAGGACCAGGCATGGTGGCTCATGCCTGTAATCCTAGCATTCTAGGAAGCCGAGGCAGGTGGATTGCTTGAGCTCACAAGTTCAAGACCAGCCTCAGCAAGAGTGAGACCCCGTCTCTAAAAAGTAGCCAGGAGATGTGGTGGGCCCCTACAGTCCCAGCTACTTGGGAGGATGAAGCAAATGGATCTCTTGAGGCCAAGAGTTTGAGGTTGTTGTGAGCTGTGATGCCATGGGCAAAAGAATGAGACTCTTTCTCAAAAAAAAAAAAAAAAATCTGTGGAAAAATTGCAAAAAATAGCTACTCCAGTGGTTTTCCGTGTTTTGTGGTTCAAATAAAGAACTTTATGAGGTTGAGGCTGAAAGGAATCAATCTGTTATGGTAAAAATTTGCACATTGAGACTAATTGAGAGGGAACTTGTCATGGGTAGCAAAAAGGCATCTCTTTGATCATTCAGCAGAGTAAACTTTTCTATGCCCTCTTTAGGGTTTAGAGGTGGGCTTCTGGTTCATTTCACACAAAAGTATTGCTTCCTCGGACTTGAGTAATAGTGTTGGATGTCTGGCTCCCACAAGAGGGCAGCACTGTGGCACCACACTTTGTTCCTTCCCCCAGTCCCAAATGTATTGTCAGAATAGACCTCACTTTGTTTCCCCTTTGTGACTACAGCTGATAACATCTACGTAGTACAGTGCATGGTAGTCTTCCTGACCTTTACAACGCTGTGCTTTTATCTCAAAAAAAGTGATAAGGTGGATGCTTTCTTTTTCTTTCT